GAGAGAGAGAGAGAGAGAATGAGAAAGAGAAGTAGTCTTCAGTTTGGCCGATGCTAATGAAAAAAGCACATCGGTTATTATATGAGTCGTATTAGTGTATACATACATGTTTTAATCTCAGTTAACTTCATCATTGTTTGAATCTCTCATCTGATTCTTAACGCGAAGGACCATCCAATTGAATGAAAAAGAATGGAGAAGATGTTCATATTTATCCAAAAATGTCGAGACTCGCTCCATCGACGTGACAACAAAGAACAATTTGTTTCTCTCTGTCGTTAAATGATGATCGTTATTGAATGAAAATGTCGTTAAACGCCTACATCCTTGAGTTTCCAGCGAGTTTCGTCCTATCGAAATTGTTTTCAGCATTAAATCGCAGCTTTCTTTCAATATTATTCGCGCGGAGCAGTGACGAGTGCAAAGTAGTCGTCATCGCCAACGATTTTGTTCTTTCCTTCGACGATCGACGACAATTAGATCTCGACTTTGTATCTTGTATCTCGAAAACGATATCAGAGACATGATGCGATGAGAAAGAGCGAAAGATGTATTTAGATATTTGTTGGAAATGATCGTGCCGTCGATGCAAAAAAGTTTGTTGGGGCTAACAGTGTTGATGATTGTTGGCGTAACGACCTTCCTATTCAGCAGGAAGCTCATACTGGAGACGCGCAGGCGGGACAGTTTGCTCCTTGACATGATCGCTAATGTTAGCGGCCATTTGAATCGACTTGACAGCGGCTTCGATGACATTGCCACGCAGACGGGAATCGCGCGGAATCGCTTATCGCGGCTGATCGCGCTCCACCGGGAGAACTTCTTGGTGTGCGCTTTGCTCGACGAGAAACACAGACATATGCGAGCGTCCAGCGGGAAATCGATAAGAAGAAGAAAACGACGATTCGTCGTATCGCACTATCATCGGTGAGCGATTCGAGAAATTCGTCGGATATAATTCGTCGAAGATGCCGAAAGCACTAGATCAATATGTACCACCAAATTATGTATTAATTACGTTTAATCTACGCTTTATATTTAATGAGAAATTTAATGAGAATATTTTTCTCAATATCAACAAAGTATATATATAAATACTTGAATTTGTTTTAAGAATACGCTTGGGCGCACGTACGATAATTCCTTCTACCGTGTGTATTACAATTGCTAAGCTTACCATCAATTCGTAATTACCAATAATTTGTAATCGATATACATCTAATCGTATCGATTTAATAAAATAATAGATAAGAACGATATATTAATCTCGTTTTGATAAGGCAATCATTCGTAAGCTATAGGATTTCTATTGCAAAAATGCACGTCGCGGGTGGAACATATCATAGATTATAGAGTTTATTTTTAGCGAATAGAGAATGCGATAGGTCGATCATCCTATTTCAGAAATCAGATGTTCAAAATGGGGGCCAATTAATGAATTCGCGATCATACTGGAACGCTTACAAATAGTAATTGTTGTTTCAGATCTAGAATATTAGAATATGAAGTATAAATGCGATCGATGAGTAATATCGCGCCAAATGGTATTGTTATTACAAATGTATGTATGTATGTATGTATGTATGTATGTATGTATGTATGTATGTATGTATGTATGTATGTATGTATGTATGTATGTATGTATGTTATGTATGTATGTATGTATGTATGTATGTATGTATGTATGTATGTATGTATGTATGATGATGATGATGATGATGATGTATGATATACATATTATATATATATATATATGTATATATATATATATATATATATCGCACATCATACATATTACATACATACATGTATACATAGCAGCACGAATCTGTAAGTGTACCCCCATGGAATGTATTGCGCGTATCGCGAATTGCGCGTATCAAAATCTGACCAATCGCAAACTGTAGGAACGATGCTCTTGTTACATCCCGAGATGGAGTAGAACGGTTAATGGAATTTGGGAAAGGACATCTAGTGTATTTATGTTCAATGGCGGCGCTGGATACGATTACAACCTATATTTTTGGATTAGAGCCCGCGACCGAGCGGAAATCGCGGGGAAATATGTTTTATTAATATAATAATCGGGATATAGTATTGTATTGTAAAGTTATGATTGTTGGTGTAATTGGTTATGAAATTACGATCCAAAGTTATTTAATATGACAGAAAGGAATGATTTCTTGGGTTATTGTAAAATATAACATGAATAAATAGTTACATTAAAATAATAATAATAAAGAAAATAATAATAATAATAATATAATGATAGTAATAAAATACAACTTAATCAATATAAAAAATATGAAATATGTAATAATAATGAGATAAGATGTGAATATGATAATTAAATTCTAAGTTATCTTTGAAATTCATATAAATAATGATATTAAAACGAAGTGAAAATCAATAATATATATATAAGCAAATCACATAATATAATATAAGAAAATCAGTAATATAATATAAATAAATCGAATAATATAATATAAGAAAATATAAGAATATAAGAAAATCAAATATTGTAATATAAGAAAATCAGTAATATAATATAAGTAAATCGAATAGTATAATATAAGAAAATCAAATAATGTAATATAAGAAAATCAGTAATATAATATAAGTAAATCGAATAGTATAATATAAGAAAATCAAATAATATAATATAAGAAAATCAGTAATATAATATAAATAAATCGAATAATATAATATAAGAAAATCAACTAATGTAATATAAGAAAATCAGTAATATAATACAAGTAGATCGAATAACATAATATAAGAAAATCAAACAATGTAATATAAGAAAATCAGTAATATAATATAAATAAATTGAATAGTATAATATAAGAAAATCAAATAATATAATAAAAGAAAATCAGTAATATAATATAAATAAATCGAATAGTATAATATAAGAAAATCAAATAATATTCCAAATAGTATTAGAAACGATGATTACCTTAAATTGTTAGAGGCAAGTTATTAAATGTATTAGAATTCTAGTGATTTCGTTTTCCTTTCCTTTACTTTTCCTTTGTAATTATAAGATTCAGCGATTTAAGATAGTGACTGGACTCTCTGACGATTTGGTAACGACTGTCTTCTTCGGAGGTTCATTCACCACTGCTCCGTCCGCGCCCAAGCCGTCTAGGGTAGGGCCAGGCGCAAAGGGGAGGGGCAAACAAAGCTCTCCTCGACTGAGCATTTATTTTGTACTACAATTATTTGTGAGAGAATAGGAAAAGTAAAAGAAAGAGAAAGGAGAAAGATAAAACTAAACCTAATATTTTCGAAGATATCATTAATGCTTAAAGGTAAATCTTATTATTCAAAACGAGAATTCATTTAATTCATTTTCGTCGTCGGTTAAATTTTGCTGCGCAACGAAAGACTCTCCGAGTTGACCCTTCGTTTGAAAGTTTACGTTAGAAATATTTGAGTGCGATAAGCCTCCCCTTTTGTGTAAACTAAAGAACATCGAACGCTCTCTCGTCTCTTCTACAATTGTAATATCGAGAACCGAAGAGGAGACGATTCGAGAAAAGAAAATTAAGTTATAGAATTATATTTCCAAATTATACATCTAAAAGAAGACAATAATAATGGTAATAAGATAAAATTATGTCTTATCGCGAGACGAAGGAAAATGAATTCTCGCTTTACCATTGATTATCTTAATAATAATAAGAATTATATATATAAAAAAAGAGGAACATATATATATATATATAAAATGGTAAGACTATAGAATGATGAAAGTTATATCCTAATATTCAAATCTTAATATTTAAAATTATATATTTTAATATTTAAAATTTCAATATTTAGAATCTTATATCTTAATATTTAAAGTTACGCATGCGTTAACCTAAGGTTCGACTGC